CTTAACCCTAACCCTAACCCTAACCCTAACCCTAACCCTAACCCTAACCCTAACCCTAACCCTAACCCTAACCCTAACCCTAAGTGCCTTGGGAGGCTCGGACGCCATACCGAGGCCAAAATTGTCCAGAAGCAATTATCACTCGCTGAGGCAGGCGCTGACGTGCTTATTGAATCATCATGTTTCTGTCGCCGGGGCATTGACAACGAGAGCGCTTGCTGTAAAAGATGAGACTACTCTGGTCATTAAGATAGAATGCATCACCATATAACTAAGGCATGGGTTATAGAAATTATAGAGTTTAAGCAGAGGTCGAGAAAGTTGCAATGTCTATGGATTGTTTGTCCGTAATTTTGATATATCAAGTACGAAAGTGCAAAAGTGGCTACTTATGTGAAAGGTGCCTCGGTGTCAACATAAGCTGGCTTGCGCACATCAGCTACGAACACCGCCATGTTGAACTTCCTTGAATTCCGTCATCTCACTGTAACTACCTAGTACGGAAGGAGATAGCAGCTCTCACTTTTTCCTAATCTTCTATGAACTGGGCCAGTCCCTTATTAGAATATCACGCAGTATTTTGTAGAGAATTGTGACAGATGTTAAAACAAACGATTTTGTTACCGCGGACGATGACTTTGAGATATAAAGAACTCTTTACCTAAATGACAGGCCTGATAATTTTGATACGGTCAAAGACTAGATGTTTCTTAGCAGTAGGGGCCTCGTATACCATTCCAGGTCTCGATGGCCCGATAAGGTTGAATCCATAGTATCCCTTGCATAAAGTATATAATCAGTGTGGCGCTAGGTCAAAAGCATTATGCATTTACAAGTTAGGTCGCTGAGTCGTCTGGGCAACTGGGTTAGGATGCAGACTCTCTCCATTCTGTGTCGTTTGGACTGCCCGTCAGCCGCATTCGAATGCAATTATCCTTCGCATTAGACGTTGGTGTTTTAGCCAAGTTTCGTCTTTAAACTGGATTGTGCCTTTGGCTTGACGCCCTAATCTTTTAGTAAGTCTCTTATTCCTCATTGGCCTACGGAAGGCTAACTTTAGCCATGCTATAGTATCAGAATTCTGCTCTTTCACTCAAGTCATAATGGTGATGCTAAATCCGCCATAGCTTATTTGATAGCATCGATCTATGATGACCATTTCTATTCCATCGGAATAGCTAGAATTGATGAGAAATATAACCTCCTTTCAATCGCTCTGTTTGTGCAACGGCGTATTGGTGAGCCCTTGCCTATAGACCAGCGTCGCCAAAGTGTTGATAGCAAGCCTACCATTCAATGCAGTGGGCTCATCATCTTTGATGAGCCTCGAAGCCAAACACTGGAGGGAAGCAGTACGCTGTTCGAGGGGCCTCTGGTGCCATGTCCCTCTGAAAGGCAGCAGGCAAGATCGGTGCAGGCTATACCCACTCTAAAGGGCCAACCACAAGGAAGACGCCTTTGAAGCTATCGAGCCAGCCGTTTCCCATAAGGGGTGAGGAAAAAGAAAGTTCTGTATTCTCCAGCAGGCATTCTCAGGAATCATCATATAACACTTTGCTGCTCACAAATAGATAGCAAGATAGACAAAAACAAGGTAGAGCTATGGACACGTATCCAGCGGCAAGCTCTTGGACTGTGGTCTACCTGTAGCCTTTGATAGGCGACACGGTGAGATTTAGGAAGGGATTGACCAGGGCTACACTCGCGGCAACGCCATGCTGGTCAGGTCGACGTTTCCTGCGAAACTTGGCGAATTCGATATGTACCCTGTTAATTTTTGCAGCTATTCCAGCGGCGTGATCTGCAATATACTATGAAGTGGTCCGTCATCAGCGGTTTGTAATGCAGTCAAGATCGCCGCCCATCCTGCTGCAAAGCCTGACGGTTCGACTCCCCCGACACCCATACCCACCCACCCAGATCAAACTTCATGTAGTGCTACCTCCAGGTCGAATAAACGGGTGCGACACAGCCGCAAAGACGAACAGATCAGTAGAACAAACCATGGGTCGATAGGCAATTCGGGAACAAGTCACAATTCAAGCAATGTGGAACATTGAAGGGGGTTTACCGGCACATCAAAAGACGGTAGGAAGCATCAGGCCTCGTCAGCGCCTTGCACCAAAGTTGTGCCAAAGGATCAGAGTCTGCATGAGTGGGTCAGCCAAGTGTAAACAGAAGTAGAAGCGCAAAGCGGGAACTTGAAGACAGTTGTGGAATGAGCCGCTTTCAGCCGAATAGGAAGGATTAAATCAACCAAGTCTAACTCTATGTATCCCTGTGGGGCGTCCACTGTTCGTCATATCTTACTGGTCGTAAAGCCCCCCTTTCATCGACTAAATGACCCCGCATAGTAAGCTGTCTTTTTTATTTGAGTTGAGGTCTCTGACTTGCCATCTGCTTACAACTCATGATAGTATTCGTGCGGATTCAACGGAAACACTCGAGTACTCTGGACTAGCCTGTATAGTAAGCTCAACGGAAGGGCAACTTTCGATTTACTGTCTTCTTATAGGTCTAAGGAGCAGAAAGTGCGGGATTTTACTTTAGGCTAACAATCCATCACCTGCGATGTCACATCGTATACGTCTGGGCAGGCCGCTGGGCTATGTTCAGAAAGAGATACTACGGAAATTTTCTCGGCGTAAGCGCTATAGGCACCCAAAGGGGCAGTTATTGTAAACTCGCAGGCCGCTGCTTCAAGGATCAATGCCAGGAAGCGGGCAGATGAGAAGCATGTATTGGAAGAAAGGACCTCACAAACTCGATTTATTCATGGGTCAATTGCCAGCCCGCACGCACAAGTGAGTAGTAGCTGAGGAAAATGATTGCGACAAGCGATCAAGGAAGGTAGATTTCGAGTGACCTAGGTTACGAGAGGAGAATGGCCCAGCATTAAGAAGACCGTAACCTGGTCAATTTCATCGATGTGGAAGAGGGAAAAGCCCAGGAGCTACGAGGAAAGCCTGGGTAGGGTGGTGGCGATGCCCTCACTTGTCGACAGATACATGCGATACTACAAACCATCGTAAGCCAGCAGCTGACGCCCCATCTGCAAGGTAGTCAGACGGCACAGGAGGAGGAGCAGGCCACCGCATCATGATGCCACCAAGGACTAGACGCCTCTTTCTCCTGTCCAGAATGAGAGGGACCAGTGTAACTTTGGCAAGAAATAGTATAAAGCCAAGTGCTTCCTCCCCCATGATTTTGTGTGTTCTCTTCATCGCCATCAGCTCCTTTCCTTTCGAACTCAGCAGCATTACACCAAAAACCACTACCAAGTACATTTAATATGCACGTCTCGTCGCTCCTTGTAGCTCTCGCGGCCACCGCGTCAGCCATCGACATCAGGGCTCACACTGGCGATAACTGCGCCGGGGGCTCGGTGGCCTGCACGGGCATCAACCCTAACGTATGCTGTTCGTTCAGCAGCTCTGCAAGCAGCGGCAGGTCGAGCATTGCTGTGGTTGCCGTAAGTCAAATCCAGTTTCCTTTGCTTATAAAATTCTCAAGACTAATCTGTTTTGTAACCAGATCCCTAGTAACTGGCGCATCCGCTGTGAGGCGTACACGGGCGGCGGCTGCTCCTTCTTCGGGGGTCAGCGCGACTCGGGCGGCGCCACGAGCGTTTGTCTACCCTACACGACGCGTGGTGATCGTACGGGGGGCAAGTACTGGTTCCTCAACCGCAAGCGCGCCATCGACGAGTCGTGCCTCGCTGATCAGCCCGATGGCGGGGAATGCGAGGCCTCCGTCAAGCCCGATACACTCGGTCTCGCAGACGGCACGGACTATGACATCACCGGCCTAACGGATGAGAAGGTTCAGGAGTTTGTAAGTTGGATTTAGCTCTGAAAGGAAGATAACTATGGGCATCGCCTTTGTACTAGATGCTAATCTGTTTGCTCCACTTCAAGGAGAACATTGCCAACACCGGCGCCAGTGCCGACGCGGTACCCGCCGAGTTCCAGAGTCTACGCAAGACCGAGGCCTAAGGCTACACATGAGCCCATTGATGATAGGTTTTATTTTTATCGCGAAGGAAATTTGGAACAAGCAACAACGGGCGGGAAGTACAGCAACGACAATGGTGCTTGGGGTAACGCTCAACTGGTATCTGGACGCTGACAAGTTAGCAACTACATGGTCAGCTATAGTGAACCAAGAAAACTAAAGTTTCGGCAAAGTTTCGGCGGGAAATGATGGTTTTTGCTCAACTGCGATGTTTCAACACCTCTATCACGCTCGTATGAGAGGCTTCCTAAGTAACCTGGGGTGTACATGTGACTGATCCCAAGGTCCAACACGCACTTCTATCTTTGCGAAGAAGAAAGACGCGTACTCCCATTGAGTATTTTTACTGAGAAGCCTTCTAGGAATAGCCAAATCAATCGAACGACCACGTGCTATGTGAACCTTGGCATCATTGGCATCATCCAAAGGAAGGAATGTTTGGGAGTGGAACACCCGATGAACTGATGGCATTTCTATCAGCAACATTTCTTCCGGCTAGTGAGAAGATTACCTTAACTATCTCTTAGTTATAGCTACCAAACTCCGAGGGATCCGAAGGCGCAGCGGACCTGCTCTTCGAGCCAGGATCGTACTTTAATGCATCTCGACTTCCTCACTCCAGTAAATACTTTGACCTTAGACTATAGCCTCGATTGAGAATCCCCGCACAGTTCAACATGTGCAACTTCTTAACCTTAACTCATTTCCAGCTTTACGAGCTTTCGTATCTTCGCTTGTCGGGATGTAGCCGTACACAGTCCTTTGCGGAAACGCCAGTTACGTCGGCATCGACACGCCCGTCGCGATACAAGGCCTCTGAGCCTCACCGACTGCTGCAGCATTACTTTGAACCTGAAATCTGACGAGATCCAGATCTTCTACCCATGATCAGTGTCTCCAGCCTACATGTACTAGTGTGTCGTCTTGCAACAAGTACGGTAGCCTGTTTCATGGACTTCTTTGTGGCCAGGAGGACAAGTTTTGCCGCTCTTCTTTCGCTACGGAGCCGCGGTTGAAGAGCTGTGTGGTATAGAAGCAATTCCAGAAGGAGATGTCCGACCTGTGGCTCTAGGATGTTTGAGACTTTATTGTTGAAAAGTATAATCAGCATACATCTCACGAAGTGGTTTATATGCTATGCGATGAACGCTTTCCCTCTCCAGAATTTAGATGGTCTAATGTTAATACGATAAAGAAGTCATTTTAGGTCAATGTTGGTGACTTGGCGAAGACCAAATATGCGACGGTTGAAATGGCCGTCGGCATCATGGCGCTGCGGTACTAAAAGAGTAGATAGGCGTGATAGTAAGCTGCTGACTCTGAAGTGCGTGGTGGGACTAATATCATTCTATGAACCTGTACTTTAACAGAGTTCGAGGTCTTCCCTCTAAGCATTGCGGGCCGAGCCTGTGACAGGCGAACTGTGTTATACAACCTTGGAACCAAGCCAATGCGGCTTCAGCTCGGTCCACCTACGCACAGATCTCCCAGTACGCTTCGAATGCGATACACTGGCGGCATGTCTCTTCCGTGCTGCAAGCATGGACATTGTGCCATCGTCCTCGGTGAAAGCCCGAAAACAGGTCATTCCGATTTTACCGAGGCCACCGTTGCACATATGCTGACTTTTGAGGCTTGTTCATTGGCCAGTCGCAATCGAGGAACGGTTCCGAGCTCCCCCGCTGAAGCTAAGGTCTCGGCACAGGTCCCCTGATCGGGAACGTCTTCCATCGTGGGGTTCCCTGAAGAAGAACACAGGGGTCAGAGTCAATTTCGTATCACGCACTTGTACGCTCGTTCTGGTACTCAACGCGGCTATGCGTACGAAAGTGGAATCGCGTAAAAATGATCACCGTGACAAAAGAACTTTAGGTGACCACAATGCTTACCTACTTGATTACTTGAGAGCCTAAGAAGAAGACAGGAGAAAACGGAGAAAGATTTATTAGCTTTGGTCGTCCACCTAGTGTTGAGAGCGAAGCTACTCAAGCTTTACATGTTGCTTCCTTACTCCATCTCTGGACTTCACTCATTGTCTGCCTTCTTCCTTCCTCGCTGTCTCTCATTCTACCCATCATGCTTTTCAAATCCACATTCGTTCTCTCTCTCGCTTTCACAGCGGACGCATTCGCTGTTAGACGCGGAGGCAATGACTGGTTTGCGCCTACTTCTGCCGATCGTAAGACTAGGAATCAGATGAACGTACTGTTTTGAGCTCTTGTTGACACTTTTCAGGTCGCAGCCCCTGTCCAATGGTGAACACTCTTGCAAACCACGGATACCTCCCCCGTAGTGGCTTGAA